CACTTGCTGGCAGTTCCGGGGTAACTTTTGAGAGCCATACCCAAGGCTTTCAGAAGCAACCTGCAGCCTGGGGTCTCCGACTATTTCCACTGTAGAGGGATATATTCAGAGGGAGCAAAATAATTCTTTGCCAGTAGGGATACTGAAAGGAATGCATTGTGGACATTAGTGCTGTGCCCTATTGACTTATCTCAAAGTACTGTTGATAGATAAATAACTCTAAAAGTTATTTCAGGGTGCTTATCTTTGGGGAGGAGGGGAAATCTACCATAAATACTGTTGGTTTGAATGGCCAGGAAGTCTATCAATCACAGGTTGAAATACTTGGGAACACAATTCCTTGTAAAATCTACACTTTGAGAAGGTACGTTTTCAGATTCTAACATCATTAGAGGCACAGGGTATGAGCCAAGACTGTAATGGAGTGGCTCAAACACCCACTGCATTCTCAGTTTGTACTAACATAGAGCTGGTGTCCAAATCATGAGAATAAATATGACTGTGGAATCAAACACAGGATCCACAGCAAATAATCAAGGCTTGCAGCAATGTCTGTTAAACAGCATGTGCTAATCGGACTCCCTCCAAAGAATATTGAGAGACCCCAACCCAACAAAGGGATGGAACCATATTTATATATCTTAGAAAGGTGGAGAGACTAATGCATAGGTATATAGGATGTAAGCATATACATTCATAGGTAAAGGATCTCAAGTTAATTATAAGCAATAGAGCTTAGGTTACATCCTGGGCCTGTTTTCCTTCCTAAACCAAAAGGGAGAACCAAAACAATCAAACTCTAAAACAGGGAGGAAGCATCTCCCATAAATCAAGGGGAGGGGCCAGTTTGGGAATGCCAGATGCAAAAGAAAAACAAGTCCCATTGCAAATCTGTGAGATGGTTCTGATAATGCACTTTGGGTTTATATGTCTATACATGCACTTGGTTTCACTAATTAATTACACTAATCTAAGAACTGATTTTTCCCACATTACACAAGCTCTCAGAAGACATGAAATTTAGCACAGAGGGATAAAGTTGCAGACAACAGCCTTTTCTCTAATGTTGGGTCCTTGGTGCTCTCTGAACTTAATGGTTTTCTTGCAGACGTTTTATTACCAAACTAGGTAAGATCATCAGTAACCAGGATGCAATGATGTTACCTAGTTTGGAAATGAAATATCTGCAAAAAACCCACCAAGCTCAGAGACCACCAAGAGACCCACCCTGAATTACAAATATCTCTTTTATCAGTTTTTTTTCTTCTGATATCTCCATGCATATTTATCTGCCTTTGTAATTCTGTGAATTCCTATAAATTTGACTTACATTCACTTGAATATGTATAGCTCTCTGACTGCAGACTCAGTTTAGCGGATCACTTGGCTAATCTACTGACACTTAAGCAAAGGACACAGGGATGTAGGGATATACTGCCTGGAGCGCCAAATTCACATGTTCCCAAAGCCCATGTATCTAGTTTCTAGGGCTCATCCTAAACATATTTTTAATGTGAACTAAAAGAAAAAATAAATAAATTTAGAGTTATGATATTGCCTATATTCCTTCTTTTTAATGCTAAATAAATGAAATCAAATTGAATTTTTGCTGTAGTCCTGCCTCCTTCTTGGGGGCAATTCTGCCTGTTTTGGAGATCACAGGTAGTTCTGATCCTATTACTTTGTGTGACTAATTGGGAGTTTTGGATCCATCCTGAATTGGTTACTGGGACCAGAGGTTTATTCTTTCAAGCTTTTGGGTTCATGCTGGAGCCCATCCTCAGGGAACTTCTCAATCTCCAGGATGCGTGCAGGAATTTTGTCTCCAAAGGGCATTATTTTACATTTGCTCTTGTCAAATAACACCTACCATTTTGATGCCCACTCCTCTTAACATTTTATTTTATTTATTTTATTAGTTTGTCAAACATGAACAAGATAGCAGGTATAGGTATGAACATAGACATGGAGAAAGGAAATGAATACAAATAAATCGGGACAGTAGGACAGGGATGGACACATTGGTGCGCTTATGCACGCCCACTTTACAGACCTCTTAGGAATGGGGTGAGGTACACGGTGGACAGTTTAAGGTTAAAGTTATGGGGGTTTGAGGATATAACAGAGTCAGGTAGTGCATTCTAGGCATTGACCACTCTGTTGCTGAGGTCGTATTTTCTACAATCAAGTTTGAAGCGGTTTGTTTTAAGTTTGAATCGATCGTTTGCCCCTGCATTATTGTGGTTGAAGCTGAAGTAGTCGTTGACAGGTAGGACACTGTAGCAGACAATTTTGTGTACTATGCTTAGGTCCGAACCACAGGCAGACCTAAGATAACATGCCAAAATCCCTTCAGATATCTTTGCAGTCTCGTATTGTTTTTACCGCTCGTGACAATATAGCATCACCAGCAAAGTTGGCTATTCTTCCTGTCGTACCTGATTCCAGATAATTTTTAAAAGTTAAAAACCACTGATCCTAGGATAAAACCATGCAGGACATCAGTAGTTCTATCCTTCCATCGTGAGATAGTGTACGCTTCGCAATGTGATAGAAATAGGTTTTCTATTCTTAAGCAGTTGCTTATCCAAAAGAGGATCTGCCCTTTTGTTCCACAGTTGTTAAACTTATTAAGAAGCCTTTGATGATGGATTTTATCAAAACCTTTTTGAAAATCTAAGTGGATGATGTCTGCTGGCTTGCCTTTATCCATGTCTTTATTAACATCCTCAAAACACTACAGTAGTTAGTTAAATAGACAGCACCTCCCCTTACTGAAACCATGTTTGATATCCTTTAATAAGGCTGTGTCTCCCTAAGTTTGGTAATTTTATCTTTAACAGCAGTTTCTGCTATCTTCGCCAGAAAAGATGTTAAGATGACAGGTCTATAATTTCCTGCATCTCCGTGTGAGCCCTTCTTTAAAAATGGGAGTTATGTTGGACACCTTCCAGTCCTCAACCACAGAGTGTAGACAGGTTGCATATTTTAGTTAGGAGGTCCACAATCTCGGCTGTAAGCACCTTAATAACATCCATCCTTGGATGCATGCCATCAAGGTCTGGTGATTCGTTGATGTCAATAAAATCTAGCAGTTTTCATGCCACAATTATCTAATAAGAATGCGGTACCTACAGATCCTGCTTTGAGCAAATGGTTTAGTTTGTTAAAGTAGCAAAAAAGCAGAGGATCACACTAAGTATGTAAAGCAAGGAATAGTTAAGTGCAAAGTGTACCCTAGCAACCATGGTGGAGAACCAATTATATGCATGCCTCATTTAATGTTAGTTAAAAGCAATTCTCCAGTTGGGAAGATGTTGGAAGCATTCATGCACCGTTCTGCATGAATGCTTCCTGTTCACCTTTTTATGGGACTAAAATAGCAGTTCACTTAATTCCGTTTTGTTTCTGACATGGATAACTTCCCTTGCAATATTTCTTTCAATATGTTTCTTTCAGTAAGCCTGCAATTATTGACGAAATATACCTTTTTTCATGGCCTAGAGGTTAAAGATGCTGAGCTTGTCAGCTGAAAAGCTGACAGCCCTGGTTCAGGACCCAAGTGCCATGCGACAGGGTGAACTCTGTTATTCGCCCCACCTCCTGCCCATCTAGTGGTTCGAAAGCATGCAAATGTAAACAGATAAATAGGTACCATTTCAGTGGGAAGGTTACAGCATTCCATGCATCTTGGCATATAGTGATGTTGGCCACATGACAACAGACGTATCTTTGGATAATGCTGGCTCCCTCAGCTAAGAAATGGAGATGAGTACCAAACCCTAGAGTCACAAGGAAAACCTTTTATCTTTTTAATTTTTCAACCCTTGCATCACAAGCAGGCGTTAGAAATATCCCTTAAGGTGAGAAAGAAAACTTAACGTCATTGACAATAAAATACCGAACACAATACTCTAGAAACTCATGAAAGAACAGAGGACAGAGGTTTATTGTAGTATGAGCCACACATATTATATTCCATGTGTCCATTAGCCTATTGCAAAACTTTAGGCGTTACCTTTCCTTCATGTTCCCTATTTTTAAAAAAAGGTGTTGACAAGTTTATTATTCCTCCCTGTGTTGTGACTACTATAAACAACACAGGATGAACAGTACACTTGAGACCTGAATAAATATGTCAGGTATGTCCCACATTTGAAAATACTTGGGAGGAAATATTTTCAGTATCTCCAGATTTAAATGTCCCAAAGGTGCTTTTTCAAAAGGCAACTGGACTTGTTTTCTTTGTTGTTTGTTGAAGCTTCTTGGATGTGAAGTGAAATGTCTTCAAGGAAAAACAAAGAAAGTTCAGTTGCCTTTTGAAAAAGCACCTTTGGAACAATCATGACCTGGATGACTGAGAATCTCCATAAACCTCCAGGCTTAAATGTATAATTATTTTTTTTAATCACTGGATAAAATCTTTGCATGGAAATTACCAATCAAATTATAAAAGGGGAAGTAAAGCTATCTTCAAGTTGTCCAAGACCCTCCTCAAATTGTCAGAGATATAACAAGGGGCTTTTATATAATTAGGAGGAAATGATGTAATTACAGTGATTAAAGAAGACCAGTTTCCAAACCGTATTCTTAATAAAACTGAAAAGGCTGCTTCCAAAATAATCAGCTTCCTTTTACACACACACACACACAGACAGACACACACACACACACACACACACCAGAGGCATGTCTCCAGATGATCAATCTACCTTCATTCAGAGCTTTCTTTCCTTCCCTCGATCAAGTATTTTTTCGGAGCATAAGACACACCTTTNGAATGCTTCTCTGTGGACCGGAGTTCCTCTCACACAACCCCAACTCCCCCCCCCTCACTCACACACACACACTCTCACACAAGAAAGGTGGGAAGGGCTGCGCCTCCGCCTCCTCTTCTCAGGCTGCAAAGCTCCTCCCCGCAGATGGTGCAGCTGTTGGCCGAGGGCTTGTGCAGGAAGCGGTATTTAAAGCAGGCTGCGAGGAACATGTGAGCCGCGCAGTCTTCAGCAGGGCTCGGAGGAGGCGGAGGCGAGAGGAGAGCGAGCGAGGGAGCTGGCTGGGAATTGGTGCGAGCGCCGGCCTCCCTCCACCCTTCCCCACCCCCGCGGCCGGAATGGGAGCTTGGTCACGTACGGGCAGGAACGGCTGCTCCAGCTCGCCTAGCGCCACCGTCCCTAGCAGACTGCGCTGAGCGCACGGACGGTGCCCGAGGGAGAGAGGCAAGGAGCGAGCCCGCTGCTCCAGCCCGGAGACTCGACTTTCGTCTTCTTTTTAAGCTGCTGGTGCCGGCCGCCGAGCAGCGGGAAGCGAGGTGCGTCCAAGCCGCGGACTCGAGGGGGGAGGGAAACTTCCTTTCTTTCTCCCCTTCCTCAGCAAAAGGGCGTCCTTACTTTTATTTTTATTTTATTTGGGGAGGGACGGGGGCAGAGCCCCGGGCAGAACGGGGCCCGAGGGATTTACCCGCAGGAGTAAATAGTTCTTTTGCTCTCCTGGAGGTTGGGTTGAGTTGGAAAACCGCCCTCTCCCTTGGCGAACGAGCGCGGCGGATCGACTTCTGAAGACGGGATCGGGTCGTGAAGGGAACAAAAAGGCGTCCTTTTTGGGGGGGGGCGGAGGGTTGGGTTGGGTAGGAGCGCTGGAGAAGAGAAAGAAAGCAGAGCCGAAGGTGGGCGCGGGCGTTTTTCCTTTTCTTTCCTTTTTTCCAGCCTGCTTTTGGGCTTAAAACGCGCGTCCTTCTCGAGCCCTGTGGTCGGTCTTCCCGGGTAGCTGTTTCGGGCTCGGTCCGCAGGCTGGATTCCCAAGCCCCAGAAAGCTCGCTTTGAGTTTGGCCAGGACTTGTTTCGAACTTAGTGTTGCATTGCCCGGGCAGGAAGCAACCGGGGCCAGAGAGAGAGAGANATAGCTCAAAGTGAAAAATCTGAAAGCTCAATTGCATGATACAAATTAATGGCCTTTGATCTATACCAGTGTTTTTCAACCTTGGCAACTTGAAGATGTCCGGACTTCAACTCCCAGAATTCCCCAGCCAGCATTTGCTGGCTGGGGAATTCTGGGAGTTGAAGTCCAGACATCTTCAAGTTTGCCAAGGTTGAAAAACACTGATCTATACAACGGGCGAAGGCAACCCAGAGACAGAAAAAATGTGTTGATCAATCTCTGCAAGAAATGGAAAAAGGGGAGTGAATAGCTCCGAAAAGGCAAATATATGAAATGGAAGAATTCAAGACGCTATCAGACCTGAAGGCAGATAACCAGGGGCTAAAGGATGAATATTGGGCTTTGATCAGGATTAATCAGCAAACTTTCCAAATAAAATTGTTTCTTCTTATCTGCAAATCAGGGGATTGCACATAATTAGTAACTCCAGTGGACCACAGAATAGAAGTCACTGGATTCTTGGGAAGATTTCTTAGAGACTGTTTTTTTTCAGATATTCTGTCAAAAGCCCTTTTACCTGTGCGAGTATACGTTTTAAACCAAAATCCTATTTTTATATGTTAAAAGCAGCTGCTGAGAAGACAACATGACCGAGAAATCTTGTTTACAAGGTCTGATAAACCTCAAATATTGAATCAGTAAGCCATAAACACATTTTTTTTAAAAGCTTTCCGTTATCCTTATTTTGTTGCCTTGACAGTGGTTTTTTTTGGGGGGGGGGGATTTTATTTCTATATGCCACTTGGAATCACTATGAATTCAGTAGCCATATAAATTTCCTTAATAAATAAAATAAATGAATAATACTAGATTCATTACAGTCAGATGTCCTAATTTTCAAAAGTGCTCCAAAAGAATATGAAGGCTGAAGATTCAATAGCCACTGAGGGATAAAAGAAAATCAAGTCACATTCTTCACTATATTCCCCGACTACCCACTGACCAATTTAATGGCAAATGTAATCTTAGTGTGATAGTTTTGGTATAAAAACCATGAAATTCAATGTTGCAGATCCATAATATTACTTCATGGCACTACAGGTAATCTTTGATTTACGACCATAAATTTTTGTTTCTAAGTGAGACAGTTATTAAATGAACCACTGCAGGCGTTAAGTGAGTAAGATGGTTGTTAAGTGAATCTAAGTTCACCATTAACTTTGCTTGTCAGAAGATTGGAAAAGTGGATTACATGATCCCAGGACACTGCAACCGTCATAAATATGAATCAGTTGCCAAGCTGATATTTTGATCACATGACCATGAGGAATGCTGAAATGGTCATAAATGTGAAAAATGGTCACTTAAGTCACTTTTTTCAGCACTTTGTAACTTGGAACAGTCACTAAATGAACTCTGGTAAGCTGAGTATTACCTATATCAAAAAGCTTTGCATTTTTTATTTAAATTTTGACAGCAGTTTTAACTGCATTTCCTGTTAACTTAATAGGGATTTGTGTCTTGGAACAAGTTTCTGTATTATTATTGTGCCAAAACCATGCTGAAAAAAAAAGGATTAGTCTATGATTGTTACAGTTCATTGTGTCAGATGGACATATTGATTTAATGGTTTCAGATGAATGGTGTGAAAAGCAGGGAGGATGAGTGAAATTAAAATAGAGGTTAGTCCTGTAACTAAACAAAAGATAGGATTTGATAGTGTAAATGACCTTGTCCCAATCTATAAATTTATTATCTGTCCACTTGTACTTCCTTCTCTGTGAAATTACTCTTTCCTTACTTGTAACCCAATATTTCTCAATAAGCGAAACCAGTCATCTCACCAGTCAAAGTCAACTGCTGTAAAGTGTTTCCAGGCACACGGGCTGTTTCTATGTGAGAATGTTTGTGAGAAGCAGTAATTCACGTTCACTTTTGATATACACCCGGTTGCAATTCTTGTTGCATCAAAAGTGTGTACGAATTATGGTATCTCACAAACTTTCTCACACGAGACAGTATTCCTGGAACCACTTTGCAGTTTCCTCTTTCGTCCCCGCCCTTTTTGGCTAAGGTTCCTCGCTTTCTTTTTTTAATTTATATTAAATGACGGTTTGATTGAAAAGCCCTCAAAGAGGCAGGGATTTTCAAAGTCACGCGCCAGCGAACCCAGGGCCAGTTTCACCCAAACAACCCAGTCATTCTTGCCCATTTCGGATTCCCTCCCTCCTTTCGGCTCAAAAGCCAGAAACTGACACTGAAGTGGAATTCTTGTTTTACCCGAAATTTATACCTGAGGCTGTTGCCCAGCCGTTGTGTGCGTTTGTGTGTATACACAACAACTGCTCCACTCTTTTGCATCCGAGTTTCCAGCTTCTGGATGCAAAGCACGCTCCGGGTTTATGGGGAAGGTTTCGAAAAACGAGAAGTCCTTTTCTGTTCAAGAAAGGGAGGGGGGGCTTTAACACACGTGTGCACAAGCGTGCTTTTTTTTTCACTTTCTTCTTCTTCTCCTGCCCGCTCGGGAACAAAGTGGCTCTTTGCAACCAGGCCAGTTGCCGGCTTTGTGCGTGCGTGTTCCTCGTTCCCTCCGCCCCAAGCCGCAAGAACTGTATGCAAATAAGGAGGCCGCCCGGCCCTTCCTTTCTTCCCGCCCTGTTCGGGTGGGNACACACACACACACACACACACCAGAGGCATGTCTCCAGATGATCAATCTACCTTCATTCAGAGCTTTCTTTCCTTCCCTCGATCAAGTATTTTTTCGGAGCATAAGACACACCTTTTCCCCTCAAAAAAGAGAGTGAAAATCTGGGTGCGTCTTATACACTGAATACAGCATTTTTGGCCTCCCCAAACCCCGCCCCCTTCACCAAAATGGCCGTGCATAGCCTTTAGGGGGCTTATAGAGTGCTGCTTGGGAGGGCAGAAATGAGTGGAAAACGGGCCGTTTTGGGGAGGTCTGCAGAGTGCAAAAACTTTTTTTTTTAATTTGCCTCTTCAAAATCTTGGTGCGTCTTATACTCCGAAAAATCTGGTATCTATCTTTATTTTATTTTAGTTTTATTTCATTAATTCATGGTGTTCACCATCTAGTCCTCTTATATTCAAATTATCATGTTCTTTATGTCATCACGAGCCCATCTCTGTGGCTGGAGACTTCAGTAGAAATAGGACTATCTCAATCCCATAGATATTGATCCATTAATAGCTTCTGGAGAGTCCCAGGATCCAGCAGCAATATGAGAAACCAAAATCACAAAAGAACCAAGTGGAACATGAAGCCAGTATGAGCCACATGACTCCTTCCTTGACCAGCCTAGTGAGTCAGTTCAAGGAAGAAAAGAGCCAGCTGCTCTAAGAAAGCCACATGGAGCCTTGTGACTAGGCTGACCTAACCAGACCTGCTGCAGCTGAATGAGAAGAAAAACAAAAACAGATGCATTAAACACCTAACCCTATACGTAAAATATGTATTTCATATGTGTCATTTTGCACATGCATGATGCAATATAAAACTAAATGTAGACCCATGGGTATGAAAAATATATATGCATAATCACCCCTTTCCTTTTCTCTTCCCCTTCCCCTCTCTCTTTTCTTATTTCTCTCTCCCTAAGACAAATTGGAAGCATAATAGTCACCTAGTAGAAATTATGCCCTTTGGCATAATTGCCTTTTGGCATTAAAAAATAAGATTCTGCCTTTTGGCATGAAAACGAAGAAATAGCTATAAAAGCATTCACATCCTATTTATACACACCTACGAAACATACTGTGTATGAAAAGGAAATTTTACAGTATAGAGTGGACTTTTGCCCACTTACTGTTTTTCCTGAGAAATGCTATTGACAAAAAACAAATTAGAATTCCTAAGAAAATGAGCTGCTTGTTTTTCACTTTCGAAAACAGCTGTTAATACACATTGGATGTGTAGAACGGGATGAGGGTGGGGATTATGACAGATATTTTGTGCAGTGTGTCTATTTTGTGCTGGTAAGAACAATATCTTCGAAAGCTCAACAATATTCATCTTAATTCCAGAGTTTTGCTAAAGGAAAATTTATACACACGCAAACTTGTAAATTAAAGAAAATAATCCAAGCAGTTTTGCAACCGTACAGTATAATTACAGATAAAATTGGGATCTGCTGATAAGATCTTATTTAGAAACTGACTACAGAATAGTCATTTGCAAGGGAAATTGACAAGCATAAATGAGAATTCAAAGGAGAAGTTACTGGAATATACACAGCAACTGCGTGTAAAGTCTTTGGCTTTAAAGAGAGAAAGAATTGGCAATCAAAACCCTCTCTCTTTTTAGGTGCATACAATGTATATAACATACATTAAAAGGTACAGGGCTTTGATTGTGCAATTCCCCTTCTCCTTTCAAAGCCAGTGACTGCTGCTGTGGATGCCTCTGCTGGGGCA